CCGTGGGTGGGGGTGGGGGGGGGGGGGGCGGTTAGGAGGAGGAGGCACCCAGGGTCCCCCTGCAGCTGATTGCTGAGCCAGGGAATACAGAGGGTCCCCCCCCCGTGTGCTCCCTGGCAGACCCAGAAGTACTTATGCTCGGCAGCAAACCCAGAAGCAGACCATGTGGAGGGCCCCCCACACTCCTGTAGGATGCTCCATGTACCCCAGCGATCATGAGCTACCTCAAGGTATGTAGAAAAAAAAAACAAAACAAAAAAACATTAAAGCTGTGTCTGTATCGAGGATTCACTGAAATCAGCATCAAATCATCAGATTTGGCCAAATCGAATCAGGGACAGAGATCCAAATCAGTGGATTGAATCACTGTCCCCAATTTGGGTTGAATCCGAATCGAATAGGGCCCAGTTTGCACAGTCCTAATGTCCCCAATTTCAAGTGTGAACTCGCAAATGATACTTCTGTTTTCAAAGCAGAATGGCTGTTTCCATTAGGAATGTCACTCTAGCCAAGATGCAAGTGGTAGAGTGGGGCATTCTTCTCCCATTCCATTTGATCACTTTCTTAAAGGTTTGTGTTTGTTAGAGAGGAAGGCAAGGGGTGTGAGGGGGAGGAAGGTGTTTTTTTTAGGAGTGTTTTGTTAATTGGGGGGTTTTGTGGAGAAGATTATTAAACTGCATTGTTTCATTGTTGTACTGGCCCAGACTGTTACTGAACAAGATTCAACCATATGCCTGCTAGCTTACCTTTTTGGTAGAATTGATGATAGTACTAAGTACAGACACCAATTTAATAATTTCCTTGTTCTCAGAAACACTCTTGTAATAGTTTGAGCTTTGAACTGAAACAGGCAAGTTTACAGATGTTGCGTCTAAAGAGCAATATAGAAAAGGAGAGTCAGGCAGTATGATTATAAACACAAGTTTACTTTAAATTAACCAAGGTCACAAAGTGAAAGGACACAGCTTGTTTCTCATCAAGGACACCCTCTAAATTTGTTGGGGGAGGGGGTTGGGTTTTTTTGTTTTTTTTTAAACCAGAAGACATGGAGAGGTACAAGACTGGTTTACACAATATAGCAGGACACTGAGTAGACAATCTTGACTACAAGATGGCAAAAGATGGGTGCTGAAGGAATTAGCAGAGATCATTGTGGGACCTCTGGCTCAGCTTTACGAGTTCTCATGGTGCTCTAGCGAGGTGCTGGAGGACTGGAAAAGGGCCGGTGTAGTCCCCATTTTGAAAACTGGGAGGAAGGAGGACCCAGAAACTACAGGCCTGTTAGTTTTACCTCGGTCCTGGGGAAGCTCTGTGAGAAAGTTACCCAGGAGCACATCTGTGAGGGACCAGCAGGGGAGATCATGTTTAGGGGCAATCAACATGGGTTCATTTGAAGCAGGTCCTGTCAGACCAACCTGGTGGTCTTCTATGATCAGGTCACTAAATCCTTGGACGCAGGCGTCGCAGTGGACATAGTCTTTCTGGACTTGAGGAAGGCCTTCGACACTGTCTCTCACCCTATTCTCATTAAAGGACTAGGCGACTTGTGGCATCGATGCCTACAGTCAGATGTGTTGCAAATTGGCTGCAGGACCACACCCAGGGAGTGGTAGTGAATGGGTCATTTTCGACCTGGAGGGATGTTGTCAGTGGGGTCCCCCAGGGCTCGGTCCTCAGGCCCGCACTGTTCAACATCTTCATCAACAACTTGGATGAGGGGGTGAAAAGCACCTTGCTCAAATTTGTGGATAAACACTAAGATGTGGGGAGAAGTAGGCATGCTGGAGGAGAGGGACAGGCTGCAACTAGATCTGGACAGGTAACAGGGGTGGGTGGATGAGAACAGGATGGGTTTCAATACTGACAAGTGCAAGTTATTGCACCTGGGGAGGAAGAACCAGCAGCATACGTATAAGTTGGGGAACTCCCTTATCAGCACAGAGGCAGAAAAGAATCTTGGAGTCATTATTGATTCCAAGATGAACATGGGCTGCCAATGCGAGGATGCAGTCAGTAAGGCCAACTGCATCTTGTCATGCATCCACAAAGGCGTCACAAGCAGGTCTAAGGAGGTGATCCTTGTCCTCTATGCAACATTAGTCAGTCTGCAGTTGGAGTGCTGCGTCCAGTTCTGGGCGCCACACTTCAGGCGGGATGTGGACAGCATTGAGAGGTTCCAAAGGAGGGGGACTCACATGGTCGGGGGCAGCAGGGCACACCCTATGAAGGGGAGGCTACGGGACCTGAACCTGTTCAGCCTCCACAAGAGAAGGCTGAGGTGGGATCTGGTGGTTGTCTATAAAAACTTACCAGGGGGGACCAGCAGGGAAAAGGAGAGTCCCAGTTCCCCCAAGCACTACCAGGAGTAACAAGGAATGATAGCCATAAGTTGACTGAGAGTAGGTTCAGGCTAAACATCAGGAAACACTACTTCACTGTCAGGGCGGCTAGGATCTGGAGCCAACTTCCAAGCGAAGTCGTGCTCACTCCTACCCTGGGGGTCTTCAAAAGGAGGCTAGATAATCACCTAGCCAGGGTCGTGTTTGACCCCAGCATTCTTTCCTGCCCATGGCAGGGGGTCGGACTTGATGATCTGCTCAGGTCCCTTCTGACCCTACCAACTATGAAACCTTTTTACTTTAAGTACAAAGGCCAATTGAATAGGGTACTCCGTTTCTGTCTCTCTCCATTTTTCTGTCTTTACATTTTTCCACAGAATTTACCATGCACATCCAAAGCCACATTGACTGACCCCAAGTCAGTATTAACCAACTCTAATGGAATTAATTAATTCATATCTTCTCAAGCAATGGAAAGGTGCTCCAGAGCTGCACACCAAATATTTTGGTGTTGAAAAAGCAAAGGGGAATCCTGAGAAGATATACTCTCCACCCATACTGCAACATGCAAGTATTTAGCTATTTTCAGACAATTCTTGCTATGATTGAGTGGTTAGGTTGTTAACATAAGACTTGAAAAAGCTTGATGCCATTTCTTGCCCCTTCCTGTAAAAACTGGGTCATTTTTTTCTCTCCCAGTCTCAAACAATTGTTGTGAAAACAAATCCTCTATATGTATGTGAAGTGTTCAGGTCTTAGGCCAAATAAGGTACTGAAGATAAATACCATTTTTACACAAATCTAAGATGACCCTGAATTTAAAATGACCCCCAACAATTAAATTCCAAATATGGAAAATATACGTGGAAAATTGTACCAAATTAATATAAAATCTAATTATTAGAGGGTTGTCTTAAATTCATCCTGCTCCGACTGCTACAGCAGAGCAAGCAGTAGCTGGGGGGCCTCAGGTGGCCCCCTTGTCCTCTGCCCCCTACTTCCTCCCCTTAAATCCATCCTGCCCCCTACCACCTGCATGCTCACCCTCAGTTCCCCATAGCCTCTGCCCTTCCCACCCATTCCCCACAGTCTGTTCCTTCCCCTTCACTCCCCACACTATTCCCCATAGTCTATGCTCCTTCCCCCCAACTCCCCACAGTCTGTCTCTTCTCTCCACCCACTCCCCAGTCTCAGCCTCTTCCCACTCCATCGCACTTACTGACAGCACTCAGGTTCTATTCCCTCTTCAGTCACAGAGCATAAACACACGGAAGTGTGGCTCCTGCCATGCCAGGCAACAGAAGCAGTGCTGCTGATTGACCAGGCAGGGTTTCCAAGTGCTCCATGCCTGGGAGGGAATGCAGTCTGAGCTAGAGCCAAGCTGCATCTGACAGTAAGTAAGGGAGAGGAAACAGGGGTGATGGGGTGAAGCAGCTGTGGAGGGAACAGGAGGCTGCTCTGGGTCCAATTCTGGTCCCAACCTGGGCTCAGGGCCAGTCAGAGTTACAGTTGCTGCCTGCCCACATAGACTTTGTATGCGGATCCAAGACCAGAGGCTGATAGGGGAGAACCTCATCTTAGATTCAGGCAAATAGAGTAAATGCATTAGTTAGAAATATGGCTCGGCTTCAAACATGCTCAGATGCTGTGATAACTACCTAAATCCCTAGCTATGACAGCACTTTTGAACTGGCATTCATTTACAAATTTAAGTGATTCCCCAGACTGTCCCAAAACAAACTGACCTAAACCATTCCCACAGGACAAATTTAGCCTACCTACCTCTTCACCAACCTTGAAGCTTCAAACTAACCAGGGATCCATATAAATACAAAGATATTTTTAAAGAGCACAAAGACTATCAAATACCAATAACAACTACTGGAATCATGGTCATCGGGATGTCCATGGAAGTAAACGTTTATATCTCAGTGTACAGCAAGAGACACACAACTCATGTTTTTAAGATCAAGCAATAAGAGTTAGGTTTTTTATTTTACCATATACATTTTTTACTCCAGTTTCTCTCATTTCTTCATCAGAATCACTGTCTCTGCCATCATGCTGCAAAGCAGCTATTTTCCTCTCTAGCATCTTTTTCTGTGAAGATAAAACAATGATGACATTCCCTAAAAATGTCAGAAATCTGAAAATTTCAAAAATAAGTAAATCTACACAAGACAAACCTTAGACATCCTCTCCTTACTCCATTGTCCAACGCCTTTCATGACACTGACAATACTATCCACAGCTTTATTGAGTGTTTGCTGCACCTCATCCAAAGTTGGTATCATAATGATGTTTGGGATAGATAGGGTGATGCTAGTCCTAAAAATTGGCCGAGTACTCTGTTTCTGCTTAGAAACATTGTCATCATCTATAAAAAAGGATTTGAAAAAGGTTGTTTTAAAAACTTCTCTCTTAAAAAAAGTTCTCTTTATCTCATCTACCGGGTATATACATATTTACATGATCTGTCTTTATTATGCTGCATTTCAAAATGCTATACATAAATCGCTGGATACTTCAGGGAAGTATCCCATTTCAGCTGCTTAATTTATAATGAAGTAACCATTAGTGTGATAAAAAGCATCTAATTATTATGCTGCTTCTTCATGCTCTCTCCTCCACCCCAAAATGTGAAGCTGTGCCTACAACTTAAAATCTTTATTTTAACAAAAGTATCATTAAGTCTGATCTAATCTGTGCATTTAAATGTAATTTACACAAAGTAAGGCATCAAATTCTGTGTACTTAAACACCAGGGAACTCAACAGATACAATCTGGATTCTGCCACATCCTGTACAGGTTCTCCATCAAGAAATTAAATTGAATTTGTCTTGTGTCCCCTGAGATAGAAGGAAGCCTTGTAACACTGGATTGCTCACATGGCAGCTTGTCAGATATGCGACAGAGCTGGCAATGGTTCTTTCCCCAAGTGGCAAAGCCTACCTATAGAGGTATTAACACTCAACTGGTGACAAGCATCCCACCTTCTAATTTAATTCATTTGGTCACCTGGACTTTAAAGCCAGGTGCAGACGTTATGCTTTTTCTGGTTTAGGTGGTCAGAAACCCATAACAAAACAGGATTTCAAGGCTCACAAACTGCTTTAAAAATGGTGGATCCCATGATCTAAGTTAGACCATCAGTGCCCAGTCCACTCATGAATCCAGGTAGGTTGCTGTCCACTGGTATCCCAGTTCCTAACTCCCCCCACTAACCCACCCTTGCAGGGAGCCAAGGCTTGGCTGCTCCAGCTGACCACCTAGCCAGCCCCATCCCAAGCTGTCTGTCTGTCACAGGCAGGACAGACACCTGGGGAAAGAGCGGGGGTGGGGATGGAGTGGAGCTTGCAAGCTGTTGGGAGGTGGTGGTGCCAGCAGTGCACCCTGCATTCCCAGCCAGGTCAGCTGGGTACAGTGTTCCTCCCCTGTCCTGAGCCCTAGAACCCTCCACTGTAGCAGCTCTGGGGAGGGCTTGCAGGATGTCCCCTTTAGAGCCAGCAATGAATTCCTGGCTGCAGAAGCTTCTTTGCAGCTGCAAGGGCATGGTTGCCCCTTCTCCCCAAGGACTGGAGCTTGCATCTGCAGAGAAGCCACTTCACACAGGAATGCAGCACTGGCTTGTTTTGGGGGGGGGAGCCACTCCAGCACAAGGTCCCAGGATAGGGGAAGCACTCTGGATAAGGGAAGGACTCTCTGGAATGTGAACTGGGGCAGCTCTGGGAAGGGCTGGCAGGATTTCCTCCGTGGAGCCAGTGCCAAATTCCCAGATGAAGACACTTCTCTGCAGATGTGGGCTCCAGTCCCAGGGGAGTGGAGGAGAGGGGTTAGCCATGCCCTTGCAGCTGCTGAGAAGTGGCTTCAGTCAGGAATTCAGCGCTGGCTCTGGGAGTGGAGAATCATTACAGCCCTTCCCCGGGCTGCTTCCACAGAGGGTCCAGGAGCTCAGGTCAGGGGAAGGACATGCCGTGTCCTGCCAACCTGGTCAGGAATGTGGAGTACAGTTCTGGCACCAACTCCCCGAGCAGCTCACGAGCTCCAGTCCCACTTGCCCCTGGTCTGCCTGGGGTTAATCCCCATACCCCCCACCCTGGAAAAAGGCCAGGGACCCCCATGCCACTTAGTGGGGGCAAGCACCCTGACAAAATGAGAGGCCAGCAGCGGGGAGGCACATGCCTGACAGCCAATGAGGGATGGCACAGCCACTTAGCTGCACTCGGCTGTCCTTGGCAATCTCCAGCAGACTGGGAGGCATGCAGGAGCATCCCCCACTTTCCAGCCTTGCCCAGTGCAGGAATCTGCCTATCTCCCACCAAAGAGTAAACGCGAGTCCCATTCACTCCTGATCCAATCTATGCAACTTGGAGAAACCTGCATATATTGGATCAATTCCACCTTGGGCTTTTTGAATGTCTGTGCTTAACCCAATAGACTGCATGCTTACTTTTTAAAATAATGGTCTCCAAAACAAAGAGTTTATCACAGTGTCAACATAATCTGTTGTGTATTGTTTAAGCTTCATCTGAGGAAGAAAATTCTCAAATCCAAGTCTATGCTGGCTACTGAAGTGTAAAAGATGGGCCCACATATGTGATCACTTAATTAGTCCACCCTCATTGCTATAGTTCAGCATTATGCCGAGATCATGTGCCTATGTGTTGTTTTGTGCATGCTAGCTAAAAACAAAAACTATAAGAAAATACACCCACCTAAGAAGTTTACCATAGATGCGGCATGAATGCGTTTGCGTATCGTCTCCAAAGTGTTTCGAGTGACCTTCAACAGGGCATCGATATTGCAGTGATTGAAATGGGAAAGCAATTCATGGGCCTCTTCCTCTAACATTTCCATCTCCTTCCTCTTCGCTACAGGAGAAAGCCCAGACCTAATCTGACCGTAAGTATTGGAGGAAGCCAGTTTGTCCAGTCTTCCTTCCTCCTCTACTGTAAAAACCAAATCAGCAAAGTTAAGTAAGGCAACTGAACTAACTAAGGGAAAGGAATAGGAATGCAACTGTCTGAAAGCTAGTGAATTTAAACACCGTCTTGAGAAAAAAAGTCATCAAGAGTGGATTAATGTCTGGGCCCAGTATAGGCCTAGAGAGAGTAGCCCCTGCTTTCTCTATGCCCCTCCAATCCTTGTCTTAAAGTAGGGTACAAGTTATGCTTATCAGTGGCAGACTTTGACATCAATGCTTCTTTGTCAGAGACGAAACACCACTACTCAACTATGTATAAAGCAAGGAGCTGAGATGCACTAGGGATTGAAATGTGATTTAAAAACTTTAAAATTATACAACATTCCAGCCAGGGATCTTTAGAAATCAAGACTCTGGGTACTACATTCATTCACTACATGATACATGAAAGTAAATTAAGAATTAAGTAAAGAATTTTTCAAAACTTCTCTTACCTGCACCTTCATTCAAATCAGCAGTGAATGGAGGCAGAGTTGATTTCTCGTTTTCTCTTTTAGATTGCATCTCAGTATCCAACAACACGTTTATCAGCTCATTAGCTGCCTCCTCCACCAATGAGCTCTTTAAATCCAAGGTCTGTGACCCCCTAACACAGAGCTCCTGTTAATAATACAAATACTGTTGAGTCTGAAATCAGGAGCTTTGTTGCCACACATAGGAGTAGCACATTAGGCTGAACACTCCCATGGGAATCAGTAGAACTAGTTGTGCAATAAAGGCGCTAATCTAAATCACATGAACAGGGTTGTAAGCCACAGCAAAATTTACTAATTGGTTGTTTTTAAACCCTAATCTCTGCAGCTGGATATCTAACAAACTTTTATTTAAAAAGCTTGTATGCCTCATATTTGTAGGCCATGTCTTAAACATATAAAACCTGAAAAGCAAAAAAGCCAGAAGGGTCACATAAATCCAATATTTACTTTCAAATTACAAATTTTCCTAAGGGCTTGACCCATGCTTTTCAATGCATGGTATCAACAGTACCAAGCACAGCAAGATCTGGCTTTTTAAAATAAAATCCAGTGACTTTGACCTACAATTAATGAGGTGCAAGGCTGAACAATTTGATATTACTTCCAAGGTTTTTTCATTTTATGTTACAGAAAAACAACAACACTTTCCAGCTCATATTAAAAATCCTAATCTGCACTTTCACTTAGTACTTGTCATATCTGGATTCTTTAAAATGTCTCAGATTTTTTTTTCCAGTGGGATGCAGATGATGCCAAATGGATAACTTAGTACCCAGAGTTCAAGATGCTCTGTCTATATGCACAACCATGGAGGGATGGTTGTGGGGCACATCTCTTTTGATTAGGTTGAAAAGTTTACATCACCAACCTACAAACCCCAGGTCTTTCATCAATAGAACAGGTTAGGCTCTTCATCCATGTGTTGCAACTACAAGTGGTGTGAGGGGCCCATCAGATTCTCCTACACCATATTAAAGGGACCTTATATAGAGATTGTGTTGGACAGCTCTCCTACAATGAGAAATGAGATTCCTCCCATCTCTCCACCTCTAGAACTAGTATATAAAAGCCATTGAGTACTTGTGTCAGAGGTGAACTTCCATGGTTTTCAATACCATAGTGGCTCGCTTAAGAACACAAGTTCTCATGCCCTGAGTAGGAAGTCAAAGACTCTGGTCAATAACAGTGGACTAAAGTTCCCCCAAAACAGATCTGACAGTCTCAAATATTGGGAAATGTTCCAGAGGAGACCTTTTTTCAGATTCCTTTATCCCCAATCCTATCATAGCGTTTTCAGTATTTATTTATTATTCATATTTATTAAGATTTTCAGCCAAGAGAGAGATGTCAAAAGACACGTCAGCTCCCTCTCACCTCCCTTAGTTCTATTCTCCAAACCAAATAAGGGCTTGACCAGCTTGTCAGAACAAAGCGTAGTTACCAACACCAGACACACACCTCCAGTCCTCCATGCTTACTAAAAGGACATTCAAAAGTACGTGTTACGTAAAGCAGACTTTTTCAAAGCAGATAAAGGCAAATAAAAGACGCTACAAGGGAGGAGCTTAAATTTAAGTGGTACAGAAGAAGGAAAGAAATGTTATACTTTAACTTCTTGGTTACCCAGAAGCTCTGCCAGGCCCTTGAGTACCTTGAATTTGGTGTAGTTGTTCACCTTTAAACAGTTCAAGTTACTGTTAAAACATATTGCTATCTGTTATTCTCATTAAAATTACCTAAGACAATTGATAATGATGAATACAATGTTTATGTCTAATGAATGCCACAGCATGGTAATTAAGCTACATCACACTTCACCATAGGATGTGCTAATACATAGTTTTAGCAAGACAAATCTTACAACCTTAGTCATTTGGAGAAATTCTTCACATGTAAGTGGGTCACCTTCTGGCAGCTTACAAAGCAGCACACTGCTCATTTCTTGAAGAACAACATCTATGCGGAACTTCACCAAATCATTCACTCTATCAAGCAGAAGCTCCAGCTCAGCTTTTAAAAAAAAAAATCCAGATCAATAGAAAGAGATTACATTTATAAAGGCCCTCTTAAAACACTTTCCTCATGCTTTTGTCCTCAACATGTTTATGCGTATTCAACAGCACATTATCTCCACTTCCCTTACACTGCTTGCTTTACTTTTAAAGTTGAGACTTGCAGTGACATTTATTTGTGGACTAATCCATTACTAATCTTGGGGTTTGGTTTTGTTTGCTTTTTTTTAATATCTAGAATGTTAATGAATGCAACAGGAACTTGCCCTGGAATCTGCTTTTCCATACTCAAATTCCCTGGGGAGGGGGGGGCAAGAAATCAGGATTTTAAGAAATTAATTTGCGACTAATGCGCTGCCTCCAAAAACTAGAAGGTTTCTTTTTACACCATATAGCTTAATTACTATTCATTTATACATTGACATTTTCATAGGACATACTACCTAGCACTTTGGAGTTTCTTTTAATTACAGAAGAAGCTTACAATCACTGATAAATAACAGTTTATGCACATCTGCTGCTCTTCTACAGAATTGAGAAAAGGTACTGATAACCAAAAGCTTGTCTGTGTCTATCCCAACCATGAAGTTATGCAAATAAAAGATATCAAAAACAAGAATTTTTCCTCTTCTTTTATGCATCCTAATTTGTTGCCACCATTTTAGAAAGGTTTGGAAATTGTAAAACTCAGCATTCTGTTCTCTCAAGGGTTATCTGTCAAATGTTGTTAGCATATTAACTAAGTGCTTAAGAACTCATAATTTCTGTAAAATAACTCAAGTTCTGACATACACTTACTTAATAGTTTCCATGGTGATTTCATTATTTGTTCAGATGCCAATAGTTTTAAGTGGTTTTAAGTGATCTGTGAGTGGTTAATGGGACTCAGTACCTCATTGGAACTTAAGTGTCTCTGGGACTGAAAGGTCTTACATATGGACTTTCTGGACAGTCTACAAAATATGTATCACTACACTACTGCAGATGACTCTGCACACAGTAGAGCAATGCTCATCACAGAGAGCCAATTGTATTTCTTTTACAATTGTTACATTTTTGTTTCTGTGGGCCTGTTGGGTTTCTTCTTCTTGTACCAAAATTTAAATATAAGCTACACACATGCAAGAGGCTCGCCAATGGAACTGCATGTTATCTTATTTATACCAATGGCAACTCAACACAACAAAGTGCTGTACAGTGAAATCACTTTAAGACACACAAAAGGTAAGACGGCAACGGCCCACAGAGGCCTGTGCCTTAAAAACTAGGTGATGCTGGGGAAGAGAAGGTTAAGTTTGATAGTATGGCCTCCCTTTCTCTTATATTTTAAGTTTTGCATTCACACATTTAAAGACAGAAGATAAAGGAGCTTTTTTCTGGGCTGGGGCAAGCTCTACCCTCCTCTAACAGGATTCCAGTAAGACTGGACTGCATTTCTAGGGAATCTGTCCCTTTGAGGCAACAGTAGGTTATGGATGAGAATTTCAACTGCTTAATTTATACAGTGGTATAATGTGTATAAGTAATGTTAAAGGTTCCTTGGGTGAATCTGATCACTCTTATTAGGCCAATTTAAATAGTTGGAAAACAATTATTAAACAAGCTTTCAGATTAAAAAACCCTTTGTCAGGCTAAGGAAGTTTTAGCAGTTGGGGTGTGCTCTTCCTGGATGCAATGAAAAGTAAAGAAGCCAGAGGCTGGTCTGGTATGCATACAAGACAGGTAGTCAGTGAAAATGTAGATTTAGGAGTCAATGGATGAGAGACAGGCTTGGTGGAGACCAGCACAGCTACAACCTACACCCCTGTAACATGTTAAAGATTAGTATTTATGCATAACACTGTACCCAGTATTAAAATTAAAGTAAAAATAAACTAAAAAAAAAAATTCTCAGAGATGGCAATATGCCAGGCTTACCCAATTTGTCAAAAATATTATTTAGGTATCTCTCAATGTTCAGAGAAGTCCAGTTCAGTGAAGTCAAGCCAGGATGAATAACATTATCTACATTAGCTAAGTGAGGAGCCATTAGTTGATCAATGGGCAATTGTATTTTTGACTTCACTCTCTTGTATTCTACTAGCATCATCTGAAATAAATGAAGCGTAACAGCAGTAATTAATATCATTACACAAACGTTTCACTATGCTAAAAAGTTGCAACTAATTACACTGAACACATTTCCCCTGGATGCTTTACTTTATGAAAAACATGTTTTGCAACCATTAAGCACTTTTTTCACACTGGCTAAAGCACTGTATTTGTAGAGAAGGCTCATCCTTAAGGATCCTAAAAGTGTTCTGCCCAAATACAGAAAGCACGTCAAAAAAAGCTCACTGCTCTTGGCACAGAATATTGTAGTTAAGCCTAGAAAGGAATTCTCCTAAATTTAGTTTCAGAATGATTCTACATGGTCACCATCAGAGCTGAACTTTGTAAAAGTTAGCCATATTAACCTCCTGGACCTTTTGAAAGCAGAACATTATCTTTAAAGTCCACTTTAGTCCAGGCTTCTTACCATGAATCTAAATCAAAAGCATCCAACTTGTAATCTGCGAGTGGTTAAATTATGGCCCACAATGTTTGTCAGCATAATTTCTGAGCTGCTGCACTAACATGGCCTCAGCACCCAGGGACTGAACGCTATTGCTGCCTGTTTCTCCCGCTACCTTGCCCACTGCCAATTTTGAAC